ATTTTAGTCGATTATGGTTTGAAATGAATTGATATTGATCTTAGAACGACAACTGAAAATTTATGAACGAGTATTGAAAAAGAGAAGATCATTTGAAATGAATGATATTGTTGGTTTGAAAATAGCAGCTGTTGATCGTTCGAATACGGCACCGGGTGTTTTACCTTGCAAAATAATTGAAATCATCGAAAAGAATGATTCTGCAAACGTATTTTATAGATTAGCTACAGGAGATGGTATCATTACTGAACTCTTTTCTTCCTCGGATTTTATGGACTTAACTCAAACTGTGTCTGCAAATTTACGGCAAATTAAGATCGATGCATTACCGATGATAACATTTATCCATGCTTGTAAAGTATTCACGAAATTTAAAACAAATAGACCATGCAAATGTATCGGGACATGCGAGTCTAATCGTTGTCCATGTAAAAGGAATCAAATTCAATGTTGTACGAAATGTCATCGCGGCAAATCAATTTGCAAAAATAATACTTGATTCTTCGATCGTTTTGCCTTGTTGAATTATCTGTTTTTCAGCGATGATAAATGAATCGTATGAATTATTCAAGTTACTCATACAGCATTTTCATTCAAGAGATATTTAAAATAATGTTTTCCTATGAGAATCTACTAAGTCATAGAAAGACATGGGCGGATGCATAAGAAGACGATTTTACATTGTTTTCATATGAAACGTCCAAAACAAAAAGTATTGATGAAGTTGTTACCATTTTAATATCTCTATCGTCATCAAAAATCAATGCCAGATGTTTTAGTTTCATTCAGAGAGAAATTTTTGTAAACTGATTTGATAATGTCTCTCGAAGATTTCATCGATCTCTCTTCTATTCTATTTGATCTTTTCCCTTTTGGTTATAGCAAATTGCTGATTTATTCTTTTATATCAGATATTCCCGGGAAAAAAGAAGAAATTTTGTTGATTCGTTTTTCCTTCATGTTTTATTATAGCAGAAAGAGAAGAATGAACCAATTTAGTTTCGAGCCATTTTCAAACTTGACTACCTCTTGTATTTAATTAGATTGTTGAGTTGGTTTGAGACTTCGAATAGATCTTCGTAATCTGATGCTTCATATCTTTCTTTGATATCATACAATCGAATTCAATTCACACTTTTATCATTAACGCTCGCTCTATCTGTTACCATCTTGAAGGAATTTTTCTTTATCTCTTGTTCGGCCATACACGTTTATTTCCATTCCATAAAAACATCTGTCCTGATGTTTTCCCTTTTTTTTCCCCCAAACCTCTGCTCGAATTGTTTCCTATAGATCAGACTTGAAATTATAGATAAGTTTGATTTCATTGACAGATTCTCTTCATTGGATTTCCATTTGTTCAAAAGAAAATATTACATTTATTCACTGTGATTATTTGTTTCAGATATTCATCGTAGAATGAATGATGAAATTGCTGATGCCGTGCAACAGATATGTGATGCTGTTTGCACGGTAGTGTAAGTTTCATTGGTTTTCATTTCTAGTTATTATCAAAGAATTTCAAATTGAATTCTTTAGTGATGAAGATAAAACAACAGATGATCGGGGTGCTATTAACGAACAACGTGATGATCATCATGCTGACAATCGTAACAATACTCCTGTGTCACAAATTGTGACATTAACAAGTAATTTACGACGGGCGACATTTGCGCATCGAAGTTATCATCGTCAAAAGTTGTTCATTACTTCATAAAAAGAAAAAGGCGAAAATATTTGTCGAGAATTTTCTTCCATTGATTTCTAAGATTTGTTTTGAGTTTGATTCAGTTCAAATGAATTCATTCGAATTAAAAGAGATATATTTGAATTGATTCGTACGGATTCAATATCTATTTAATAGATCCGATTTTCGTATTTATTTTATCTCGTTCTAGCAAATCAACCAACGTTGATTAACATTAGTGATATCAATACTGATATTACTTATCCGTAAGTTTTCCATCTGCTTGCTTGCTTGTTCTTGTAATCGAAACTTCTTTCGATTAATTTAATTCCAAAAAGATGGAAAATTCATGCCATCGTTACGTGTATCTATCCAAAGCGAAGTTTTACGAATTCACACGGTGCTGGTGAAATCTCAAATTGGGATTTAACTGATCAGTCAAGTTCAATTACATTGGTGGCCTTTAATCTGAATTCATATATGATGTCAGAGAAATTAGTGAAGAATCAAGTAAAACACTAATGATGTAAACAAATAGTATTGTCATTGACTTATTTTGTAGGTATACGAATTTCTGAACCTAACAATCAAATCCGCCGATGAAATGTACAAAACATTACCACATCCATATCAGCTGGTGTGTACGAATGCAACATGTGCAATTGAAACCGAAAGATTATTCGATCTACAAGAAAGCACATATAATTTCACACCGTTAAGTCAAATGAACACTCTTCCTTTGAATTCAATCGTCGGTAAGATTTGATCATAAAGTCAGCAAATGACATTCTTGCCATATATCTTCTAATCTTTTCATGATTGATTTCGTATTTGCTGACTGACACATAGAGACATCTTTATATTTGATTAGAAAAAAAAAAGAAAAAGAATGACGAAGTTCGCATTGACTTTCTTATATATTAGAAAACGGACGGTTTAAATACAACGGAANTGTGAGTGGCGCCTGGTAATCTAGTCAGTTACCAAAGTATCAACAATCCGGCACGTTCGAATGCGAAATATATAATCTCATTTGGTTTTACCGAAATTATCTTTCTTTTAGAAAAAGGAGGACATGTTTTAAAGTGCAAATCCATAATAGTCATTTATAGCGAACTTCTGCTTCCTGTGAAGAGTGATTGTCAGTCAGGAATATAGAATAATTAAAAGCAGCACAAGTAGTCATTTGACTCTTTTGAAGACTGTGAGACGAATGAAGATCAGTCTCTGGGGACCTTTCAAAGGTTATACTTCTGTCTTTTTTTGCATAAAACGCGCATAAGACTATTTTATTTTCAGTCAGTGGTACAGTCAAGGGCATAGCAAGTCTGCCTCGACGAGCGTTACTAGTCTTTTATTATCATTTTTAGTTGAGTAAATTGATGATCTACATAGTTTTTTCTCGAAGCTCGAAAAGACGTTATATATATATAAACACCTTAGAAAAATTATGGATACTATGCAACAGTCTTATAAATCTCACTTTTCAACTAACTTTCAAAAGAAACACCTAGTCGGTCGGCCACTCACGGCTAGCCGTTCCATGTACATTTTCACTCTTCCACTTAGTCTAGAGCCACTTTTGAAACTAATCCATTCATTCTCTTCTATTCCTTCTTTAAAAGTCCCCGTCTTCGTGCTACTGTGGCTCTCGAAGACAACACTTGACAAGCGAAACATTATTTTGAATGACTGGCATCAGATGATATTCGTATAGTATAGCTGTTTATGAAAGTGTGTGATCTTATTAATATGCTGATGACTATGGAGATCCAGCGATCGGACGTCAGTCAGCTATTACATTTTGTTCTATATATTGCCGCTTAAAACATTACCGTCTGAGAAATTGCTCCTTTGCCGCAAAAAAACGGGTCAGAAAGTGTTCATGAAAAAACTAACATCAGATTCGAGTTCCTCCACCTCGATTACCCTTCGGTCAACCCTTATATGTCAGTAGGATAGATTGTTTTTCTATTACTGTACAGTAGCTGAACGGACAAACGAACCAACTTTAACTCAAATTCTGCGTACACCCTCCTTTCAGTAGAGGGAATAATAAAAGCCTCGTGGATATATGTCACAGTTGACATGAGAATTTAGTTGAGATTGGAATGCGCGAAAAAAAAAAGAGAAATAAATTTAATAGAAATAGAAAAATCAACATTTCGATAATGAAACGAAAAATAATAGAAAAAAAAGGAGAGAACAATCGTTGACTTTAAGTTTAATTCGAGACATTTTCAATTTTTATATGACAGAATGAACGGATTCTGCTGATTTGTCACCGACACTCAAAATAGATATTATTATCTTTGTAATTGCAAAATACTCTAAAAAGAAATCATTAGATCTGAGAAAAATTCTCATATTCCCATTTGAACGAAAACAATTCTGAAGTAAAATCAAGATTTCGTGATCGTTTCTTGACTTTTTTTTTTTTAAATTTAATTTCCATGTAAGACGTTTATCTCTAAGAAACGAAGATTAAACGATTCTGTTATGGCGATTTCATTGAATTAATTAATTTCGAAGACTGTTTCTTTCTTTTCTTATTTATCGAATTTAAATCAAATGGAGGTATTTATTTCAAGATTAAAGTCATACATCGATAATCTTGATGAAAAGAAAAGAGAAAAATATACGATAAACAATGATATGTATTTCAAAATCATGAAAGTATTAAAATCTGAAGACATAGATGCGTCAGCAAAATTCAAATATTGGGCTCGTCATACCTATTGTTTGATAAACATCGGACCAACTCAATCAATATACAATAAAAAATCTAAATTGCCATTGATTTCGCAGGAAAACATGTATGAGAAAATAAATGATTGTCATGTGAGTGTCGGACATTCGGGTCGTGACAAGACATGGAACGAGGTTATTAAATCTATTCAAGATTTTATTGAAATTCTTTGTCCGACATAGGTGAAAACACGATACGCTGGTATACCTCAGCAGGCTGTGATTATATTTATTAATATGTGTGATGTTTGTCAAGTTCGGCGGGCGTTTCATAAGCCACCAGCTGGAAAACCAATTGTTTCTATAGGTTTTTTAACTCGAATGCAAGTCGATTTGATTGATATGAGAAGTTCAGCGTATGATGGATTCACTTTTATCATGCATTGTAAAGATCACTTTACAAAATTCAGTTGGTTATTTGCATTGAAATCGAAGGAAGCAAAAGGTGTAGCTTTCCATTTGAAAAACATATTTCACACATTCGGTCCTCCTAAAATTTTACAATCAGATAATGGAAAGGAATTTGTGTAAGAACAATGATATGTATTGATTTATACTGATAACCTATTTAAGGGCGAATGTGATTTTGAATTTGAAAAACACTTGGCCAGACTTATTAATCATCAATGGACGCGCGAGACATCCACAAAGTCAAGGATTAGTGGAAAGAGCTAATGCTGTTGTTCAACAAATGTTAGGCAAATGGTTAGATATAAATGAAACTTCTGACTGGCCTAGTGGTTTAGGTAAATGCGAGAATGAAAATGAGAAATATCTCGAGGGAAAGCTTTTAATCAGAATACTAAACATTTCGGTTTCTTAAATAAAGGTCCTGTGATGTTAGCAATTAACAATTGCATCTCACAAAGTACAAAGAAAACACCATACGAAATGGTTTTTGGACAGCCATTAAAAATTGATCATGAATTCTGGTTAGAATTACATAGGACATCAACAACGGATGAATCAGTGATTAATGAAGAAGATTTATCTGATTCCTTTCTTGAAAACAAAAGTACTGCTATCCATTCTGTTCGTAGAAATTCAAAATTGATTTTATTATTTCTTCACTGATTTTATTCCTGATTCAGACGAATATGAGTGATCAAGTTCACATTGTCGATGATGAGTCAAGATCTGCATCATCGACTAATACAAATGATGCTGTATCTGATGAGTAAATGATTTCTTTATGTCTCTTTCAATACGCATCTTTATTTCTATATGCCAGAAAATCTGTAATAACTGGACATAAACGCATTCGAGATGAAGCTGAAAAAAACTATCTTAATACAGCAGGTACGATATTCTCCTCCAGAATTTTAGTCGATTATGATTTGAAATGAATTGATATTGATCTTAGAACGACAACTGAAAATTTACGAACGGGTATTAAAGAAGAGAAGATCATTTGAAATGAATGATATTGTCGGTTTGAAAATAGCAGATGTTGATCGTTCGAATACGGCACCGGGTGTTTTACCTTGCAAAATAATTGAAATCATCGAAAAGAATGATTCTGCAAACGTATTTTATAGATTAGCTACAGAAGATGGTATCATTACTGAACTCTTTTCTTCCTCGGATTTTATGGACTTGACTCAAACTGTGTCTGCGAATTTACGGCAGATTAAGATCGATACGTTACCGATGATAACATTTATCCACGCTTGTAAAGTATTCACGAAATTTAAAACAAATAGACCATGCAAATGTATCGGGACATGCGAGTCTAATCGTTGTCCATGTAAAAGGAATCAAATTCAATGTTGTACGAAATGTCATCGTGGCAAATCAATTTGCAAAAATAATACTTGATTCTTCGATCGTTTTGCCTTGTTGAATTATCTGTTTTTCAGTGATGATAAATGAATCGTATGAATTATTCAAATTACTCATACAGCATTTTCATTCAAGAGATATTTAAAATAATGTTTTCCTATGAGGATCTACTAAGTCATAGAAAGACATGGACGGATGCATAAGAAGACGATTTTACATTGTTTTCATATGAAACGTCCAAAACAAAAAGTATTGATGAAATTGCTACCATTTTAATATCTCTATCGTCATCAAAAATGAATGCCAGATGTTTTAGTTTTATTCAGAGAGAAATTTTTGTGAACTGATTTGATAATGTCTCTCGAAGATTTCATCGATCTCTCTTCTATTCTATTTGATCTTTTCCCTTTTGCTTATAGCAAATTGCTGAATTATTCTTTTATATCAGATATTCCCGGAAAAAAAGACGAAATTTTGTTGATTCGTTTTTCCTTCATGTTTTACTATAGCAGAAAGAGAAGAATGAACCAATTTAGTTTCGAGCCATTTTCAAACTTGACTACATCTTGTATTTAATTAGATTCTTGAGTTGGCTTGAGACTTCGAATAGATCTTTGTAACCTGATGCTTCCTATCTTTCTTTGCTATCATACAATCGAATTCAATTCACATTTTAATCATTAACGCTCGCTCTATCTGTTACCATCTTGAAGGAATCTTTCTTTATCTCTTGTTCTGTCATACACGTTTATTTCCGTTCCATAAAAACATCTTTCCTGATGTTTTCCCTTCTTTTTTTCACCCCAACCCTCTGCTCGAATTGTTTCCTATACATCACACTTGAAATTATAGATAAGTTTGATTTCATTGACAGATTCTCTTCATTGGATTTCCATTTGTCCAAAAGAAATATTACATTTATTCACTGTGATTATTCATTTCAGATATTCATCTTAGAATGAATGGTGAAATTGCTGATGTCGTGGAACAGATATGTGATGCTGTTTGCACGGTAGTGTAAGTTTCATTGATTTTCATTTCTAATTATTACCCAAGAATTTCAAATTGAATTCTTTAGTGATGAAGATAAAACCACAGATGATCGTGGTGCTATTAACGAACAACGTGATGATCATCATGATGACAATCGTAAAGATACTCCTGTGTCACAAATTGTGACATTAACAAGTAATTTACGACTGACGACATTTGCGCATCGGAGTTATCCTCGTCAAAATTTGTTCATTACTTCATAAAAAGAGAAAGGCGAAAATATTTGTCGAGAATTTTCTTCCATTGATTTCTAAGATTTGTTTTGAGGTTGATTTAGTTCAAATGAATTCATTCGAATGAAAAGAGATATATTTGAATTGATTCTTACGGATTCAATATCTATTTAATAGATCCCATTTTCGTATCTATTTTATCTCGTTCTAGCAAATCAACCAACGTTGATTAACATTAGTGATATCAATACTGATATTACTTATCCGTAAGTTTTCCGTCTGCTTGCTTGTTTGCTCTTGTAATCGAAACTTCTTTCGATTAATTTAATTCCAAAAAGATGGAAAATTCATGCCATCGTTACGTGTATCTATCCGAAACGAAGTTTTACGAATTCGCACGGTGCTGGCGAAATCTCAAATTGGGATTTAACTGATCAGTCAAGTTCAATTACATTGGTGGCCTTTAATCTGAATTCATATATGATGTCGGAGAAATTAGTGAAGAATCAGGTAAAACACTAATGATGTAAACAAATAGTATTGTCATTGACTTATTTTGTAGATGTACGAATTTGTGAACCTAACAATCAAATCCGCCGATGAAATGTACAAAACATTACCACATCCATATCAGCTGGTGTGTACGAATGCAACATGTGCAATTGAAATCGAAAGATTATTCGATCTACAAGAAAACACATATAATTTCACACCGTTAAGTCAAATGAACACTCTTCCTTTGAATTCAATCGTCGGTAAGATTTGATCACAAAGTCAGCAAATGACATTTTTGCCATATATCTTCTATTCTTTTCATGATTGATTTCGTATTTACTCACTGACGCATAGAGACATCTTTATATTCGATTAGAAAAGAAAAAAAAAGAAAAAGAATGACGAAATTCTCATTGTCTTTCTTATAGATTAGAAAATGATCGATTAAAATACATCGGAAATAGACAAACACTTCATTACTCTAAATAAATCATGTTCTCATCGACACGATTTGATCGCATTTCGTATCGAACTATAAAGAGAGAGAGAGAAAATGTGAATGAAGTCAGGGAGAAGAATTTTCTATTTGGATAAAATTGAGAAACTATTACATCAACATAAATTCAATGATGAATGCTTTTAGATGTCGAAGTTCGTGTTTTACGTGATTTCGGCGTTTCAACTGGAATGAAAAATGACAGAATGTGGACTCGACGCGACATACACGTGGAACAAAATGGTCATCATATTGGTATGAGTTTATGGAATGAACATGTAAGCTAATTAATTCGTGATTGATTTTTTTTTCAATTTAATCAATGATAAATTTTTAGGCTCGTTCTGTGAAAACAAGTATGATCCTTTCACGAATTCAATTCAAAAACGTCAAAATCTCTTGGTTCGATGGTAAGGGAAGAAAAAGGAGAATGGTTAGATGTTTCGAATTCTTGATGGATAATATTAGTACATGAATCATGTGTGTTTTCTCTTTAGGTATACGATCATTGGTGACTTTGGCCAATACACAAATGAACATCATTCGAGATTAATTCCATGAAACAAATAAACGTTGTTTTGTTGATATTCAATCATTTGATTCTGAAGAAACGTGTGAACTTTATATTATTTGTTTTTTTTTCAATTATTGTATCAATCATGTGTTGTTATCTTCTGAGTTAATTCTTTGTCAGTTTTTTTAGTTGAATCTAATAAATCTTCAGAAGAAAAAGTTTCTCATTCTTTTCGTTAATAGAATATGTAAAGAGAGAGAGAGAAGAAAAAAGAAACGTTTCATAATTGAACGAATATTGGACAAAGCCAGACGATGAATTAAAATACATTTGACTGTCCTCGATGTATATAATGTTTATTGGTATTCTTTTTAACGCATACGTCGTTCGAAACATAATCCTATCAATATATGAATTTCCAGCTACAATCTATTATAATCAAAGTGTTCTTCATTGATATTGAATATTCAGAATGCAATCATCAAAATAATAAAGAGATGTTGAATTAACTGATAGATGTTACTAATTGAATAAGTTGTCTCTCTCTGTCTCTTATTCTCTCCCTTCTCTCTATCATTTTCTCTCTCCCTTTCTCTCTTCTGCTCTCCCTCTCGCTCTTCTGCTCTCTCTATCTCTCTTTCGCTCTTCTGCTCTCTCTATCTCTCTCACTCTTCTGCTCTCTCTATCTCTCTCACTCTTCTGCTCTCTCTCTCTCTTTCGCTCTTCTGCTCTCTTCTCTCTCACACTTTCGTTCACATTTTTAATATCTCTCTCTCTCTCTCTCTCAAGGAAGTGTTACAAAATTCATCCTCCATTTTTTTTTTAAAGGATGATGAATACTATCTATCGAAGGATTATAGATATGTGTGAATTTGATTTTGTTGCTTTATTGATCATCGCATTAATATTAGATTTATATTTTATCTAGCAACAAAAAAAAAGAGATGAAGCGCATTTCATATCCCATTTTCTGTTTGAAATTTCAAGTATCAGTATGAGTTTCGTTGAAAATTTATTCAAAGATCTTTATCAAGAAAAATTACTTACCTATCGAGTATCTGATTTGCTTATTATTCTGTCAAACGATAAATCGAAGGATAATTACATTTGCATTAGTATCGAAACGGATTTAAATACTCGTCGATTTTGTTATTTGACATTAGATGAATTGCTTAATATCTATCAACTGTGTCCGGTATCTGAGCGTTGTTTTTATGAATTGATTAGTTCGGAACAACATGTGAAACCATATATTGATTTTGAATACTATATTGATTACAATCCTGATATTCGTGATTCTCGTATTGGAGCCATCACCTGTTTAAAGATTCTCCATTTGTTATTTGATTTTAATATGAAATACAATTACATCCAGGGTGATAATATTGATTTTGTTCTTGATAAATTCCTTGTTTTGGAAGCGTAAACGTTTTCATAATAATTGTTCAGTGGTTAAACATAAAATTCTGTCTTGTTTTAGGTCAACATCACAGAAGATATCATACCATTTTATTCGTATGAATGGACAATTTATTTTCGAAAATAATCAAACTTTCGGATTGTTTTTCAAAGCCACAATTCATTTTTTCCTTCGAATCATTGCAATTCATAAATGTGACTCATTTAATCTGGATCAATCATTCGAAAAATGTACTATCTCTGATTTAATCGATTTATTAGGCAAAGCTGTTCCTGTTTTACGTACACGCTGTACCAAATGTTATGTCTATTCGAAATTTATCACAATTTCGAAACTTGCTTATCTTTTGGTTTTGAATAAAGACAACCAATACACGTTGGCAATTGATCTATGTGTTTATTCAAACAATCAACAATTTCGTATGTTTGATTGCGTCAAAAAACACAAACAAAATCCACTGGTCATAAGCTCTTCATTCATACCTACTCAATCCATTACACATTCATACAAGGAAATATTGAAATATTCATTGTTAACTTATCATGAAACAAAAGATGTGTCTTTATTATGTCAAAAAAACAATCAGTTTGCATATGAACATTCAAATCATCATGATCAAACAATGCATGAAACTTGCGAATTGATAGATTTGAATAAACTGAATGATCATATGAGAAATTTTTATGCCAATGTATCCAATTGTAAAAAGATGTCTAATCATTCCAATTCATATGCTTCTTCATGTTTGATAAGCACTAGACATATGAATACCGATTCAATGGATTTATCCATGAAAGAAATCGTATCGTTCATTGAGAAGATAATTACCAATGATCCTTCTCATTTAGGTTATATACGATCATACATTCATGGTAACCGAAATCC